GCACACAGCTCAGGTGGCACTACAAGTCCCAACCTCTGAGACTGAGGTCCGAAGACAAGTCAGCAAGAGTACAAGTAAGATATATATGAAAGGAGTACACAATCCAGGAGCAAGCCAGGGCGGCACTACTAGTCCGGCCACTGGAAGATGAGCCACAAGGCCAGTCTGAACGATATATATAAAAGGAGTACACAATCAAGATCCTAGCAAGTGAGAGTCTACAGGAACTAGACCAAGCTGCAAGCAGTGCCGCTGGTGATCTTTAGGCGCAAGCGCCTTCGTAAAGATATCAGCTGTGTTGGCACCGGAGGGCAAGTGGACTACGCGGGCCTGGCAGCGCTGCTGTAGCTCACGAAGGAGGAAGTACCGCAGCTGGATGTGTTTCGCTCTTCCCTCAAGTCGAGGCTCCTGACACAGGAGGATCATGGCCCTATTGTCAGCGTACAATACTGGGGCAGAGCTAGGCCTCTCACCTAAGTCGTTGAGCAAGAACGTCAGCCAGCAGAGCTCCTGTGCCACCATGGCACCAGCATAGATCTCAGCCTCACAGCTAGACTGAGCAACAGACGAGGAGCGTGTGGACCTCCACAAGATGGCACCCGAACCAAGGCTAAAGCAATAGCCCTGGGAGGACCTGAGGGTTTCAGCGTCGCCTACCCAAGAAGCGTCTATGTGCCCAGTAAGGACCATCGGCCTACGTCCTCCTAGCACTAGCCCCATGCCCGATGTACTTGCTAGATAACGCAAAACCCTCTTTGCAGCCAACCAGTGCTGGGTCAGTGTCTGCCGGTGGCCACAAAGTGAGCCAGGATGCTGAGAGGGTATGCGAGATCAGGACGAGTGCAAGTCATCAGGTACATGAGGCAACCCACCAACTCTGCGTAAGGACCACTGGGCTCTACTGACTCCTCAGGAACTGGAGCCAAGAGCCAGTGCTCTACTGGCAGGGGTGTGGGTTGTGCGGAGGAGAACTGAAGACCAAACCCCTGAAGGACCTAGCGTACCAAGTGTGACTGTGTGAGATTGATGGTGCGCGCTGCTTTGTCCCTGGAGATCTGCAGGCCAAGGTAGGGGCGCAACTCTCCTAGGTCAGTGAAAGTGTGTCTCCTCGGCAGCTAGGCCTTCACGGAGGCCAGGGCGTCTCTGTCTGCAATAGCCAAGACCAGGTCGTCTACGTAGACAAGGATGTAGAACAGAGTCTGGCCAGCACAAACAAAGAGCGAAGGGTCTGCAGAGGACAGAAAGAACTGCAGGTCAGCTAGCGTAGCACGCATCGTGTCATGCCACTTATGGGGCGCCTGTCAGAGGCCGTAGACCAGGCGTCGGAGGAGCCATTGGGTCCGAAGAGGGAAGGTACTGGTGAAACCCTGCGGTCGGTGCAGGTAGACCTCCTCGTGTAGGCTGCCTTGAAGAAAGGTAGTGGACAGAAGGGGACGCGCAACAGCAAGCAACGACAGAAGAGGCGAAGGAGGAGGGGAGGACGAGACGCATTGAGAACGAAGCAACATAGGGTGAGAGCGCTGGAACAGGAGAGACAGGACGAGCACATGAGAGGGACGGCGAAGACCAGACGTGAGACGGAGGCGTTGGGTCATTGAGACAAAGCGGAGGAGATAACAGAAGGGAATGAGGGGGATAACGAGCCAGGGACAGTCCGGCGGAGAAACACAGGTACTCTGAGACAGAAAGGGAGGATACAGCAGGAGGCAAGGCAAGAGGGTCAGGGGATGGAAGAGAGGAGGCGAAGGGCCTGGACACCGGTCGCTGACTGCTGGCTAATGCTGGCTCGACGCCAACACCTGAACCCGCAGCTGCACATGGCTACCTCTGAAACTCCAGTCCAGCACCCCCAGAGGGAAATCTCCATGCACAGTGCACCCCAGCACGCCTGACCTGAACGGCGGCTGCTGACTATGCGGCGGTGATTGCCGCGAATGCGGCCAGCGGAGGCGACTTCGCGGAAACTGCGGCGAACGGCGATACCGCAGTTGCAACCGATGGCGGTGGGAACAGACGGGGGAGGAGACATGGTAGCGGAGACCTCGGCGGGACAGAGCCGTCGGGGCCATCCAGGTCAACACCTGGCGTCAACGGGAGTGAAGGAAGCGGTGAAACGGCGGTGGTAATGTTGTGTGATGTCATCATATGCTATCACATTCTGTCTGCCTCCCATCCCATGTTTTCAACTTGCATGTGTGGTTTGAATGTGAAAGAATTTGTGTGTGGTGTGTTCTGGAGTTTGGGAATGTGTTCTGTGTTATTTTTGTTTGAGCAGGTATTTTGATGATAGATCTTGAGAAGATCTTTCCGACGCAACAAGAATCGCTTCAATCGGAGCAAGAACGCGAAAGCTATGAAGATTCAAAGTTCATGAGCTTGCGTTACAATTGCGGCGGTTACAAAGTGAAGTTGTGGGGTGACTCTATATGGAGTTGGGACCTTTGGGGTTGGGGAAATTTGTCACTCTACTGTAACAGCTGCAAATTGGTTGGGAACAACCAAGCTAGGTTGGCAAGGGTGGCCAACTTGGATGGATTGGTTGGGAAGGGACAAAGGTCAAAGTTGAGGTTCCTATAGGGAGGGAATCTTTGTGCTTATGGGGTTTCCTTGGTTGGGGACTCTCTTGGGACCTTCCCTCTCGTCCCTCTCTTTCTATCCCAACCTTTCTCTTGCTCCTCTAATTCCTTGTGAGATTCTTGAACTTTGATTGAACTCTTGAGATTGAGTTAAGTTCTCCTCCTACAGCTTACCCCCTAGTGCGTCGAAAGCCATAGCGTCGCGAATACTTCATCAATCAACGTGATTCAAATTGGGAACGGTAGCTGAGATCAAGAGCTACAACATATCCAAGTTTCGCGACATTCCAACGGCTAGTGTTTTGTCGACGTCGTTTCTTGTGAAGACGACTTTTCTGTCCAGAATTTCGGATTTATATTTTGAGTAATTCTAGCTCCTAAGTTCACCTAGACTCTGTCCTTAATCCTAACAAGTGGTATCAGAGCGATATTAAGGACATTGAGAGGAGTCTACAGAAGTGTGAAGACCCTTCTAGACCCACCATGGCCTGTGGGTGTGCCTAAGTGGTGTTCTAAAGGTTGGATGTGTCTTCCGCTAAGGGGAAACTCTGCCGAAATTTCGTGGACGCCGACACTTGTGAAAATATCGAGGGAGCTGAGTGTGGACAGCAAAGGGGAGCTGAAATTCGTCATTTCTCAAGGAGAAGATGAATGAGAGAGGAGGAGATGCTAATGGAAGAGGAGCTGTAGCTGAGAAGACAAGTGAGCCGCCGCCATCAAAAGTTGAAGCTTTGGATGGCTCCAACTATGAGGAATGGAGCGGACGGATGAGGAGTGCCTTCAAACGCTACAAGCTCCTGAAGATTGCTGTTGGGGAAGAGAAGATGCCGGAAGAAGGCGAAGCACGTGAACGGTGGATTGAGAAAAGCGCGGTGCTTTTCGACCTCATTCTTCAATCGGTCAACAAGGAGATGTTCGAGCACATCAAGGATCTTGTGGAAGCGGATGATTCGGGTCCAAGGGCGTGGAAACTACTACGTGATGTGGTTCAGCCCAACACTCTCCTGATGGTGATCGTGCTCGAGAAGGAACTTGCTGCCATCTCCATGCGACCAGGGGACGATGTGAAGCCGGTCCTTGACAAGATCAAGGACACCTATGCAAGGATGGCAGCAGCGGGCAGCAGTGTATCTCAGCTGCAGCAGTGCACCAAGATCATCTCGGTGTTGGACAACTCTTGGGACAACCTCATCCCCACCCTCAACTCTCAGCAAGATCAATGGACACCTGAGTGGCTAAGGCAGCAGATTCTGCAGGAGGACTTCCGCAGACGCCATGTGGGAGGCGGTGCTGCCACTAAGACTGCTGAGGGGTATGGAGCTGCAGGGCGCGGCAGAGGAAGAGGGGGTTGGAAAGGCCGAGGCCGTGGGAGGAGCTTTGGCAGAGGTAGAGGCCGAGGTGACTATAATGAGGGGCATGGGAGCTCTAGTGGCAGGGGGAGTACCAGAATGGAGGGCACCTGCTGGTACTGCAAGAAGATAGGGCATCCTTGGTTCAAGTGCTTCAGCAGGCGGAGGGATGGGCACCTCCAGGCATGAAGCCACCCAGTGGTGAACGCGCACAAGGTGGCGCTGTGCAAGGCTCAGGTGCACAAGGTGAAGGTGCACAAGGTAATGCCTATCCTGGTTTGTTTGTTATGGTTGAGGATGTGCATGGGCATGAGGGTGATGTGGGATCTGTGGGAAAGGTTGTGATGCACCCTCTCACGCACTGGGTGATTGATTCGGGTTGCACCAGTCACATGACTCCACGGGCAGATTTGCTTGATGAGGTAAAACCCCCTGGGAAGATTAAGTATGTGGCAGCAGCGTCAGGTGCTTTGCTCCCCGTGATTGGTGTTGGGAATGCCAAGGTTAAGGGAGCTAATGGGGAGCTTGTGGGGCTTGGGAATGTTCTGCTGGTTAAAGGCTTGTCTGCTAACCTTCTCTCTGTGCGGCGACTGCAGAAGAGTAAGGCCGAAGTGACCTTTGGACCAACCAGCTGCCGTGCTAAGCTTGGGAAGAAGGTGCTGTGGAGTCTGGAAGAGGAGACCAGCTGCATCAAGGACCTGTGGCAGCTGCCCATCATCCCTTGGAATGGGAAGACTCCAACAGCAGCAACGGCAGCAGCGGCAAAGGCAACAGCAGGAGGAGATGCAACTGCACCAACTGATGGGGTCCTGGAAGCAGTCAAGAAAGTGCAGAAGCAGCAGACACATGGTGAGGTGCTTGCTGGTGTGGATGCGAGTGCGGCATGGGCTAAGGCTTCACCAAGGAGTGGAGAGGCCGATTGGGAGACATGGCATGAGAGGCTGTGTCATGTGAACTTCCCTATGCTGCAGAAGTTGGTGAAGGATGGGAGCCTGAAGGGCTTGGAGGTGAAAGGGGGAGTGAAGGAGATTGGGAGCTGCCCTACATGCTTGGAGACCAAGTTCTCCAAGTTCCCCTTCAACAGCACTACAGGACCAGCCAAGACCCCACTTGCACTTGTGCATATGGATGTGGTGGGGCCCACAAGAGCCCCTTCCCTCTCAGGCAGCCGCTATTTCTTGACAATTGTGGATGACCACACTCGGGCAGTGTGGGTTTACCCTTTGAAGAGCAAGGGGGAGGTGGCAGCGGCTGTCCTTAAGGAGTGGATGCCTAGAGCTCAGAGGGAATGCGGACACAAGGTGAAGGTGATCCGCAGTGACAATGGTGGGGAGTTCATTGGAGCTGATTTTGAGGGGGAGTTGAAGAGGAAGGGGATCCAGCATCAACTGACAGTGCCCTACAACCCGCAGCAGAATGGCGTGGCTGAGAGGTTCAACAGGACCCTGCAGGAGGGGGCACGCACTCTCCTTGGGCGTGCAGGGCTGCCTGATCCGTTTTGGGTGTCTGCACTGAGGCAGGTCGCCCTTGTGAAGAATAGGGTGCTGGCTACAGTTGGAGATAAGGAGTGGATCCCATATGCCAAGTGGTATGGGAGTGCTCCAGCGGTGAACATGCTGAGGGCATTTGGGTGCATGGTGGTGTTTCATGTGCCCAAGGAGAAAAGGGGGAAGTTGGAGGCTTCTGGAAGATGGGGTGTGCACTTGGGGATTGCAAAGGATCACAAGGGGTGGCTGCTATGGGACCTGACCACCCAGAAGCTGACAGTGTCAAGGGATGTGAAGTTTCTTGAGTCCCTGTACTATAAGGAATGGAAGCAGCAGCAACAGAAGCTTCCATCTACACCGCTCATTGTGGAGGCAGATGAGTTGCAGCAGCCTTCAAGACAGGTGGAGGTTGCAGTGTCAGAGGAGGAGATGTCTGGGGTGACTGAGGAAGGGGGAGCAGCTGAAGTAGAGCAGCAGCAGCAGCAGCAGCATGAGTCTCCACCTCGAGTTCCACACCCGCCTGAGCGTCCTAGGAGGGATGTGCGCCCTCCTGTGAGGCTGACCTATGGGGGAAGAGGCAAGCCGAATGTGGTGCAGGCTGGGAGTGTGGTTGAGCAGATTGAGGAAGATGAGATCGCTCACTGCTACTGGGCACCAATCCCTGAGTACATGGCCTTACACCATGGGGCCAAGGAAGTAGTGTGGCTAAGGCGTTTGTTGGAGGAGTTGGGAGTTGGTCAGGAGAAGCCGACAGTTGTGTTTTGTGACAATGAGTCCGCTGTGAAGCTCGCCAAGAATGCTTGTCTGCATGGGCTGACAAAACACATAAGGCCTAAGTGGCATTGGGTGAGGAGAATCCTTGATAAGGAGGTGCGGCTGGAGATAGTGAAGACCCATCAGCAGGCAGCAGATATTTTCACTAAGCGTCTGGCGGAGGCGGATCATTGGAAGGGCATGAAGCTTGCTGGGATGAGTGTGCATTGAGTATGCATGCTTGAGATGTGGTATGGTCGATGATGGTTGGCAGCCAGAGGGGGAGATTGTTGTGTGATGTCATCATATGCTATCACATTCTGTCTGCCTCCCATCCCATGTTTTCAACTTGCATGTGTGGTTTGAATGTGAAAGAATTTGTGTGTGGTGTGTTCTGGAGTTTGGGAATGTGTTCTGTGTTATTTTTGTTTGAGCAGGTATTTTGATGATAGATCTTGAGAAGATCTTTCCGACGCAACAAGAATCGCTTCAATCGGAGCAAGAACGCGAAAGCTATGAAGATTCAAAGTTCATGAGCTTGCGTTACAATTGCGGCGGTTACAAAGTGAAGTTGTGGGGTGACTCTATATGGAGTTGGGACCTTTGGGGTTGGGGAAATTTGTCACTCTACTGTAACAGCTGCAAATTGGTTGGGAACAACCAAGCTAGGTTGGCAAGGGTGGCCAACTTGGATGGATTGGTTGGGAAGGGACAAAGGTCAAAGTTGAGGTTCCTATAGGGAGGGAATCTTTGTGCTTATGGGGTTTCCTTGGTTGGGGACTCTCTTGGGACCTTCCCTCTCGTCCCTCTCTTTCTATCCCAACCTTTCTCTTGCTCCTCTAATTCCTTGTGAGATTCTTGAACTTTGATTGAACTCTTGAGATTGAGTTAAGTTCTCCTCCTACAGCTTACCCCCTAGTGCGTCGAAAGCCATAGCGTCGCGAATACTTCATCAATCAACGTGATTCAAATTGGGAACGGTAGCTGAGATCAAGAGCTACAACATATCCAAGTTTCGCGACATTCCAACGGCTAGTGTTTTGTCGACGTCGTTTCTTGTGAAGACGACTTTTCTGTCCAGAATTTCGGATTTATATTTTGAGTAATTCTAGCTCCTAAGTTCACCTAGACTCTGTCCTTAATCCTAACAGTAAAAGTGCCGGTCAGACGAGGCAAGAGGAAAACCGTGGAAGACACAGGGGACAGTGCAGACAGTGAGCTTGTCCGTGCCAGAGGCACAAACGTGAGCAAGACAGCCCCAGACGTGGAACGCGGACGAGTCACCAGGAAACCCGACCCAAAGAAGAGTCGGCAAAACTTGCGGCCGGTGGGAGCGTGGCCAGAGGTTAAGCTAGTGAGCGGCGTAGCGAATGGCGAACAGCCATAGAAAATCGGGTGCACCAGCATGAATCATGGAGGTACAAGCCACCTCTATGACCAAGCCGATGCGAAGCTCAGCGTGTCAAACATATCCTTGTATGTTGTTATAGACTACACAGGGTTGTGCCTTAGAGAGTACAACCCACTTGGTTATATTCCCTTGTATGCCATGGTTCTAGTCATTCGTTAACTTTGATATGGTATCATGAGTAGATTAGGTCCCCCCCGCCCACCAGCGCTTCCGCCACAGGTCCTACCCACCCCGTCGCCCTCCCGCGTATGGTGGCCCGTCCCCTAGTGGCCCTCGTCACCTAGAGCCTAGCTGGCCCCGTTGCCTAGTCGGCCCCGTCGCCCAGCCGGCCCCGTCGCCCAGCCGGCCCTGTCGCCTAGCCGGCCCCATTGCCCAGCCAGCTTCGTCGCCTAGCTGGCCCCGTCGCCTAGCCGACCCCATCGCCTAGCCGGCCCCGTCCCCTCGTCGGCCCTGTCGCCTAGCCGGCACCGTTGCCTCATTGGCCCCGTCGCCCAGCCGGCCCGGTCGCCTAGTCGGTCCCGTCGCCTAGCCGGCCCCGTCGCCCAGCCGGCCTCGTCGCCTAGCGCCCCCCCCCTCCCCTCGCTTAGCCGGCCCCGTCACTCAGCCGACCCCGTAGCCTAGCCGGCCCCGTCGCCTAGCCGACCCCGTCACCTCGCCGCCCGCGGCCCCGTCTCCTAGACGCCACGCGACCCTGTCTCCTAGCCGCCCAGCGGCCCCAACGCTTGACCGCCCCGCGGCTTGGTCGCCTGCCCGCGTGGCCCCTGTTGACCAGCCGCCCCGCGGCCTTGCCGCCCAGCCTCCTCACGGCCCCGTCCCTCACCTGCCCCTACGGCTCCCAGTTCGTTTCATCGGCCCTTTCCACCACATTGCACCACACTCCACCGCCCTGCAGTGCACTGCTCCGCCTTGCACCGCAATGCACCGCACTCTACCGCAGAGAGTACAAGGGATTATAGTGGGTTGTACTCTCTAAGGCACAACCCTGTGTAGACTATAACAACATACAAGGATATGTTTGACACACCCCCTAGACTAGATAGGGGCAGTGCTTGGTGAGAGACAAGCAGCTCAGGGTGGCACTACTAGTCCAGCCTCTGAGGCAAGGGTCTAAAGACCAGTCAAACGAGTACAAACAAAGCAAGAGCTAGACCAGGGCGGCACTACAAGTCCAGCCACTGGGAAGAGGCCACAAGGCCAATCAGGGTAATATATATAAAGGTTTGTACACAATCAAGGTCCTAGCAAATGAGAGGCTACAGGAACGAGACCTAGCTGTACACAGTGCCGCTGATGATCTTTAGGCGCAACACCTTCGTAAAGATAGGAACGAGGGGATGTGCAGGTCTGTAAGGGAGCTTGAAGGGACCGCCGGAAAGGGAAGGGTGGTGGAGCTACGGGCGACTACAGAACTTGAGGAAGGGTCTGCAAGGGCAACTGCGGCGGGAGCGGCAAGCGGCGTAAGCGTAGTGGAGTCCCGAAAGAAACATCGGGAAGCGCCAAAGTCCAGGGTGAAGGAGTGCGCGGCAGTAGTGGCAGGGGTCGGAGGAGCGAGGGTGGAGCCAAGGCTAAACAAAGCAGGGGATCCTACGCCTGACGCAGCAGGGGAGCCTGAACTAGGCACACCTACACTAGGCAAGGGGTAATAGGAACCAGTCACACTAGAGTCATTGACATACAGCACATACAAAGCAGAGCTAATCTCGTCCATGTCCATATCAAAGATCCCAACACCACAGTGGAGCAGACTGTGCCAGTCAGGGAGGTCTAGCGCTGGGCCGAAGCGGAGATGAAACAGGTCCTCTAGGCGACTGAAACAACGAGTGGGGGTATTGCCGATCTTACTACACACGAGGCCGCAGCGAGGACCGGTCTTGAGCTGGTACTGGTTGCGCCTGTCACTTGGACCACCACCCGACGTCACGCTGCACGCACGACCACTGCGACCACCTCCACCACCCGCGCCAGGCCACTCGGGCGAGAGACAACCGACCCGCAGCTGCTGCTGCTGGTCCAGCTGCGGTGCCTGCTGTTGCTGCTACTGGGGCTGCTACTCCGCGGCACCAGTCCCAGCCCCCTCGTCAGTACTACTAGTGGGCGAACCACCTCCACCACCACCTCCACCCCCTCCTCCGCTACCTCCGCCGTGCCCAGCCTTGGAGCGGCGACCCTTAGTTGGACGAAACTACGCTGCGGCAGCCGCGGCGACCGTCTCCGAAAGCAGGGGCTGTCTCAACGACAGCAGCAGATTCGTCAGAGTAAGTGCACTGAGCGGGGGCACAACCCTGAAAGATAGTGACCGGCACAGTACCACTAAGCTGGGCGATAGAGTGCTGACGAGTCTCTATGGCAGACACGGTGTCGACAAAGTCAGTGAGGGTGAGGTCAGCTAGGTGGAGACTAAGAGAGTGATCGCGGGCGGTAGCAAGGCGGTCAGGGAGGCGGGTGGCAAGCAGGTAGAGGGTAGAGCAGATGGGGAGCTGAAACACACAAAGGGGGGCCTCAGTGCAGGCAGCGCGCTAGGTCGCGTCTAGCGTGCGCAAGTGGGCGGCCAGGTCAGCGACAGTGGAGAAAGACGCGAGATCAGGAAAGAGCATGGGTAGGATCAGGCGGCCGACGGAGGCAGAGGGCGGGGTGGAATAGTGCGCGACAACAGCCTCTAGGAACTCCTGCGCAGTCCTGACTGACCTAAAGCGGGGGCGCTCAGACAGGGGGAGGGCATGACTAATCACGAGCTGTGCGACAGCGTCACGCGCCAACCCGACAGCACGGGCAAGGACAGCAGCGGCGGCGGACTCACGGTCAGCAGACGAGCGGGCAGCGGGTAGAGCAGCAGGGGGGTCAGGGCATGGGAGCATACCATCAATGTGGACGGCCAGGGAGTGGCCGTCCCGCCGCTGACCAGTGAGGTGACGGCAGAGGACGACAAGCCACGTGTCGAACTCAACTGGCTGACCCTCCGCGTCAAAGCGAAGCACCGAGTTCGCTATCATTGTCGCTGCAGCAGCTGAAAGGCGGTAGTGGGCTGTACTGAGCTACAGAGTGTGGCGGGAAGCAGTGGTGTGCAGTGTAGTGCGGTGCAGTGCAGTAGACTACAGTAGAGTGAGGTGCAGTACGGTAGAGTGCAGTGCTGTGCGGTGCAGGGCGGTGGAGTGCCGTGTAGTGCGGTGGAAAGGGCCGATGAAGCGAGGTGGGAGCCGCAGGGGCAGCTGAGGGACGGGGCCGTGAGGAGGCTGGGCGGCGAGGCCGTAGGGCGGATGGTCAACAGGAGCCGCGTGGCGGGCAGGCGAGCAAGCCGCAGGGCGGTCAGGCGATGGTGCCGCCGGGCAGCTAGGAGACGGAGTTGCGTGGCGGCTAGGAGACGGGGCCGCGGGCAGCGAGGCGACGGGGCCGGCTAGGCGGCTAGGTGACGGGGCCGGCTAGGCGACGGGGCCGGCTAGGCTATGGGACCGGCTGAGTGACGGGACCGGCTAAGCGAGGGGGGGGGTGGGGGGGGGGAAGGGGGGGGCAGCTAGGCGACGGGGCCGGCTGGGCAACGGGGCCGGCTAGGAGACGGGACCAGCTAGGCGACAGGGCCGGCTGGGCAACGGGGCCGACGAGGCGATGGGGCCGGCTAGGCGACGGGACCGGCTAGGCGACGGGGCCGGCTAGGCGACGGGGCCGGCAAGGCGCTAGGTGACGGGGGCCACTAGGGGACGGGCCAGCACGGGCGGGAGGGCGATGGGGTGGCTAGGACCTATGGCGGAAGCGCTGGTGGGCAGGGGGGACCTAACATACTCATGATACAATATCAAAGTTAGCGAATAAAATAGAACCATGGCATGGGAATATAACCTAGTGGGTTGCACTCTCTAAGGCACAACCCTGTGTAGTCTATAACAACATACAAGGATATGTTTGACATCTAGCACCCTAAACAGACTACCAATACCATTGTTCACAGCCAGACTATGGCTGTACAGGGATGTACACAACCCGGCTGTTTTTTATACCTAAAGTCCTAACAAGACCACCGTATACAGTCAGCCTGTTCACGGTCGTGCTTTGCCCGTTAATGGCACAAAAACACCTGAAAGTTGCCATTCCTAGACCCAAATTTCTTTAGATGACATCGACAGAAAGTTCTCTGACCCTTGGTGCAACCGAGCGACTAAAGCATAACAAGGTGTGGAGTGCTGCTGTGCTGCCTCTGATTCTGAAGTTTTGTTGGAAATAAGAAATTTCACTGTCAAAAGTAGAAATTGCACACAAAGGGCATAGACTCAGCATAAGCAAGGCATGCATTTATTCAGTGCAAGTTCAATGCCTCTACCAGTTGGTTGGCCACTAACTCCATCTCAAAGGTTGGCCCTCCGGCTTTTATTCTGCCTTGCTAGACTATGCACTTATGCCCCAAACGACTCCACTCAACGCCTGTGTGTAGCGTGAAGTTGCCGGTACTCTCGCAGGTCTTCCCACCTGCTCCGCTCCCCACTGCCGCGCGCTCAACTTCCCAAACTTCCCTGTTATAAGCCATATCGTTACTAGATGACAACGGTGTACTCGTAGGTCGTCCCGGCGCTCCACTTGGCCGGGATCACATTCACAAGTTGCAGCACCAGCTGCTGCCCGGCCTGGGCCACCTCTGTGACGCGCACGCTCACCGTCCTCCCCACACCCACGATCTTCTCAGCGCCGGACCCCAGCACCCACGTGGCGCTCTCTCCCATGGCGCGCAGGCTCGTCCAGCTGCTGGCGTCCTTGGAGATCTCCACCTTCTCCACCGCGTCCACCACGCCCAGAATCTGAATCGCGAACCAGTAAGGGTTGCTCCCCGGCATCACCCGTACCGCGAAGGTGCCGTTGCTAGGGCACTCCACGCCGCGGTACTTAATCTCTACGCGGCCCGCGGCCCGGTCGCGGACGATTTTGTCCCACGCGGTCGAGGAGAGGAGGAAATCGCCGTTGCCTTGCTTCCCGACGGCGCGCACCGTCACGCTGCCGCCCCTGCAGCTCTTGTGGTTCTTGCAGGAAACCTCGTAGCACGTGCCGCAGCCCTTGCCGCCGTTGTATTGGCTCTGAGGAATGTACGCGGTGAGACCGCCGTTGAAAAAGGGGCTGTCGCGGAAATCGCCCTTGTAGTTGCACGCGCCGCCTCCGTCGTTGAGTCCCACGCTGAAGCTGGTGAATACGGCGCTGGCGGGAGTGAGGGCGAGGGCTAGGAGGAAGAATGCGAGGCACAACCCTCCGCTGATCTTGGAAACATGAGCCATCGCGCGGTATTGAGTAAGAGAGGCGGAAATCGCAGGGAATGGTTCGGCAGGGGGGAGCTTTGAAAAACTAAAATCGCGGAAATTGAGTCCTTTGGAATGGAGTAAGCGGGCCGGGAAATCAAGCAATACTAGAAGAGCTGTGGATAAAATGGCGATGATTGGTTCGAATTAGCTGGCGATTTTATAGTGCACGTCGTCGTGTGAACCTGGAGCCTGAGAGGCAAAACCGAGTCGCCATTGGGACTTTGTTGTGTTGGAAGCGCTTAGGTAATCTCGGTTGCGCCCAGGAAGGTCGCATTGTGCTTCGTTTTGCCTTGCGACGTCGAGATGTGAAGCGTCGACAATTATTGCCCCAGAACTGACGGCGTGACTGACGGAGGAGTGACCTTCCGTTAAAATTGGAGACATCCCCAGGTCAAGTCCTGGCAGGCGAGGCGCAATGACAACGATTGCTGGGGGAAAGATGTCATTCCGTCAGGTCGTGTGACCGGGTGAAGATTTTACGTCTTGCCATTACGATGGGCTCAGCAATTATTGGGACTCTTAGGGACATCGCAGTTTCTTCCTCGTCTGTAGCCTGGTTGACGGACAAATGCACGACCATTCCTCCGGAATAATTTTTGAGGGAAAATCTATGCTTGGCTGGCGTAGCATGAGACTCGTCAGGAGAGTCGGAATTTCATGGTGTGAGGTGAAACGTTAGTGTAACATTTAAAACTCACTACCAAATCCATCTTTCGCATGCGCCAGCTCTGTCTGGGATAGGCTCAACAACTCTGCTCGCAACGTCGACTGGGTAACTTACATGGTTTCGTACTAGCAGCGTGACTGACGAAAGGAATCAGTGCGCAGCGAATTGCATGGTTCGCCAGGAACCGCAGTGGTGTTTGTTACCCGCTCCGAGCTGGGCACCTGGGAATCTCAATTGTGTTCGCACACTGTCGCGCGCTACTGCCTCTATTCGTGTGTGTTCCCCCACCCCGCGCGGAACTTTGGCATCAGCGGGTTACTAGGCGATTGGGCGAATCACAATGACGTTCGAGAGCACGTCTCCGCAAACAAACGCGACACTGAGGTAACACCGGGGTATGATCGAGCACTGCGAAAGCGGATTTCCACGATCGCCCCATGAGTCGTCATTTTCTTTCGCAACGGTTGACTGCTGATCTCGCAAATATCGTTTCTGCTGAAGACACTTGTTCCTCACAACCCTTCTGCTAGTAGTTCTAAACTAGATATGGCTGGTCTTGCTGCGTCAGCCGAGCTAAAGGTTTCCGTGGAAGTATGAGAGATCCGTCGTACGCAGAGTAGAGAATCGCCACTGATCTCTTTCCTCCGTTTTTACATCGCATAGCTTGTCGCGTACAGGACCACATCCACATTCGCGAATGTCGTCGCATCAACCACCGCGAAGTTCCTGGCTACCTGTCGTCATTCCCTAGGCTCAAAAAGCTCGTCCTCTCTCCCGGCAGCCTCGCTTCCATCCCCGCATCTGCCGCATTTCATTCCAGCCGGGATGAGCACGCGAGAGGGAGGCGAGAGTAGGCTGGGGGGGTGGGGGGGAGGGGGGGAGTACTTGGTGTGATGGGAATGGGGGTTGTGAGACAGAGGAGGGTTGAAAGAGGGTTGGGAGTGGGGGCCGGGCAGCAGGTGTATTTTGAGTGGACTCAGGTGTATTGGTGAGTGGACTCAGGTGTATTTTGAGTGGACTTAGGTGTATTCTGAGTGGAGTCAGGTGTATTTTGAGTGGACTCAGGTGTATTTTGAGTGGACTCAGGTGTATTTTGAGTGGACTCAGGTGTATTGGTGAGTGGACTCAGGTGTATTTTGAGTGGACTCAGGTGTATTGGTGAGTGGACTCAGGTGTATTTTGAGTGGACTCAGGTGTATTTTGAGTGGACTCAGGTGTATTTTGAGTGACTCCCTTTCAGCCCCCTTTTCAGCCCATCGCAGCCACTTTCTTCCATCTCCTGCTCCTGATTCTCCTTCAAAGTGCAATTTCCCATCCCCCCTCCCCTTCCCCCTTCCTTCCTCCTTCCCCCCAACCGTCCCTTCCCCGCACCTCTCCCCCCCCCCCCCCTTCAAGTCCCTCCCACCTTCCTCGCGTGTCTCCCCTCCTCCACTCTCCCCGGAGAAACCGGGTCGATAGCAGCAAGCTCGGTCCTTCCTCTCTTTCCTCTCTCCCCTCCCCCCTCTCCCTTCCCGTCCCCAGCTCCTCCCGCCCTGTCCCCCCCTCCCTTGACTGCAGGGGGCGCGGGAGAGTGAAGAGCAGCGGATGCTGCAGACGAGAGGGCGGGTGAGGGGGAGGGGGGAGGGGAAGGAAAAGCAGGAGAGATGGGGTGATGGGCAAAGGGAAGGGGGAGGAGGCAGAGGGGGAGCAGGAGGGGAATGGGGCAGCAGATTCCTAAGCCGTGACACCCCGTACGGAGTGAGGGGGGAAGGGAAGGAAGAGCAGGAGAGATGGGGTGATGGGCAAAGGGAAGGGGGGAGAAGGAGGCAGAGGGGGAGCAGGAGGGGAGTGGGGCAGCAGATTCTGAAGCAGCAACACACCCAGTAGGGAGTGAGGGGGAGAGCCTACGATTGAGGGAAGGTGGGAGGAGGGAAGCTGGCTCATTGGCGTCACTCCGGTAAGATAGAAGCGGTTGGCGCCAAGCAGATGCTGGGGGGGGTTTACTGGGTGTGACGGGAATGGGGTGGGCATGAGAGAGGGGAGGGTTTAAAAAGCATTGGGAGAGCAGGGAGTGGGGCAGCGGGCTCTAAGCTAGAAGCGGTTGGTGCGGAGCAGATGCTGGGGGGGAGCAGATGGTGGGGGGTAAGCTAGGAGCGGGCTCTAAGCTAGAAGCGGTTGGCGCGGAGCGAGTAGATGCTGTGCCGGCCGGAGTAGGTGCACCCTACACCGCTGTTTGAAGAGATGGTTACCGTTTCGGGTTGTGTAACGATTGGTGGGTAGAGTGCAGGCAGCTGCATTGGGAGAGCATTGGGAGTGGGGCAGCGGACTCCCTTTCGTCTTCTCCCTTTCCAACCCCCTTTCTCCTTCTCCGTTTCCCACCCCCTTTCTCCTGCTCCCTTTCCAACCCCCGTATTCTTCTCCCTCTTCGTCTCTCGTTCTTCTTCCCCCTGTCCCAGTCCCTTGCGTTTCCTCCCCCTTCCCCCTCGCGTTCCCTCGCCATTCTCCCCTCCTTCCCTCCCCCTCCCACAGCGCACCATCCCCAGCTACCCCTGTCTGGATCCCCCCTGCCCTGACTGCAGGGCGTGTCGAAATGTGCCAAATTCTAGCTTGCATGGTTTCACATTTTCTATCCCCCCCCTGCCCCCTCCCCCCTTTCCCCTTTCCCCCTCCCCTCCCCCCCCCAGCATGCCATCCCCAGCTACCCCCGCCCGGATCCCCCGTGTCCTAACTGTAGGGGGAGCGGGCAAGTGGAGTGGGGAAGATTCTTGGGCGAGGCGAGGTGGGGGTGGGGGAAGGGAAGGGAGTGTGGGGTGAATGGGGGGGATGGGGAAGGCGAAGCAGCTTGTGGCAACGACGAGTGGAGTGCGGCAGATGCTGCAGACGAGGTATGTGTCGGGGGAGGGGGAGGGAGGGAGGGAACCTTTGAGGCATGAAAGAAGGAGCAAGCATGGGGCAAGGGGAATGTGGGAATCGATATTTGCAGGGGGGATGAACGAGTGGAGAGCAGCAGATGCTGCAGACGAAGGGGGGGCGAAATGGGGGCATTGGGGAGCGGAATCAGCTGGTGGTACGGGCGAGAGGGGTGCAGCAGATGGTGCAGGCGGGGTGTGTGTGTGCGGGAGGGGGGTGGGAGAAGGGGAAGGGGGGCGGGGAACTGGGGGGGAGGGGGAGTGGACGAGTGGAGTGTACCAGATGCTTTGGGCGAGGTGAGTGGGAGAGGGGAGGTGGGGAGGGGAAGAGAATGTGGGAGGGATGAATGTGGTGCCGGTGGGAAGGAAGTGCTGAGAGGAAGGGAGGTACGTTGTGAGGGCGACACTGTAACGGGGTAATCGTTTGAGCCGACTCACAAGTCATCTCGTTACAATGTCAGACGACACGGCCTGCTTTGAAGTGCAGAGTGGAAGCGGGATACATAGTGGCGTGGGCGAGTGGAGTGCAGCAGGTGCTGCGGCAGATGCTAGAAGGGGCTGCCACGGGGCGAGGGGAAAGGGAAAGTGTTACAGGGGGAGCGCAGGGCGAGTGGAGTGCAGCAGGTGCTGCGGCGGACAAGGTGTGTTGGGGAGGGGGGGAGGGGAAGGGAGCGTGGGTGGGACAGATGTGGTGCGCTGAGACTTGCTGAGAGGAAGGGAGGAAAACGCTGTGAGACTTGCTGAGAGGAAGGGAGGAAAACGCTGTGAGACTTGCTGAGAGGAAGGGAGGAAAACGCTGTGAGACTTGCTGAGAGGAAGGGAGGAAAACGCTGTGGCATGGGCGAGTGGGCTGCAGCAGAAGTTGCGGACGAGATGATTGGGGCAAGGGGAGAAGGGGGGGGGGGGGGAAGGGGGGGGGATTTGAACGGACATTGTGTGATTTGTTGTGGCATGGACGAGTGGGGTTTAGCAGAAGCTGCGGACGAGATGGGGGGGGAGAGGGAGGTAGGGGGGACGATGAGGTGAGAGGGGAGGGGGAGGGGACCTTTTGGGGCATGCTAGAAGGGGCTAGCACAGGGCGAGGGGAAAGGGAAAGTGTGACAGGAGGGGAGTGCGAAAGGGAAAGAATGTTCTCCTCTCCGCACTTGCTTGAGCAGTCTCACTCTCACGCCCTTCCCCTCCGCACTTATGCCTTCTCACTCTCATACCCTTTCCCTCCCCCCAATGCCCCTCTCCCTCACAACGTCCTGCCGGTTGATCATCTGTTTTCCCCATCGCTCGCTTATGATCTGCCACATAGCCACTCTGCCCTCCTCCCTCCGCCTCTACCTCCCTTGTCTTGCACCCCCCTCCCCCCCTTCGCCTCTTCCTCCCCTAACTTGCCACTTCCATCTCACCATGCGCCTCCCCATCCCCTCGCTCTCTTTCCCTCTTGCCTTTTCGCCATCCCTCTCAAGTCCCTTCCCCCCTAATCCCTTCTTCACGTCCCCAAGTCGTCCCCCCTTCCCCCTCCGCCACTGCCTTGCGCCTTTTGCCTCCCTCCACCCTTCCTCGCGCCCTTCCGGTTCCCTACCCCTTCCCCTCCATTTCCCCTCTCTCTCCCTCCCTTTCCCTGTGCTTTCCCTACGCCTTCCCCTCACTTTCCCTCCCTTTCCCCTCCCTCTCCCCTGACCTTTCCCTGACTGCAGGGGGAGTGGTCGAGTGGACTGCGACGGGTGCTGTGGGCGAGGGGGGTGAGAGGAGGGTTGAAGGGGAGTGGTGGGTGTGTGTGATTGCGGAGTGGGGGCTGGGAGAGGGTAGACATGAGAAATCAGGTTGGGGGAATGGGGCAGCAAAGTCAGAGGTAGTGCACCCAGTGAGGAGAGCGATGGAGGGGAAGGAAAACCAGGAGAGATGGGACGAGATGGTGCTGCCTCTGCTCCCCTCCGGCCCCCTCTCGTTTCCCCCTCTCCCTTCCCGTCCCCAGTGCCCTCCCTCCTGGCACCCTTCCCTTGACTGCAGGGGGGGCGGAAGAATGAAGAGCAGCGGATGCTGCACACTAGAGAGGGGGGGGTGGGGGAAGGAAGAGGGAGTTTGGGGGGGAGAGGAGCAGGCTCGCATGGGGAGCTGGTGGGGTTAGTTGTTGTGATGGGACTGGGGGGTCGTGAGAGAGAGGAAGGTTAGTGAAGGTGTTGGGAGAGGGGAGTGGGGCAGCAGACTCTGAAGCAGCAGACCAAGTAGGGAGTGAAGGGAAGGGGAAGGGAATGCAGGAGAGATTGGGTGATGGGCAAAACCTAGTATTGAGGGAAGGGGGTTTGAGAAGGCAGAAAAAGGAGTGGGAGGCTCCTTTCTCCTGTACCGCCTAATTTCTGCCTCTTGTCAGCTCCCTTTCTTTCTAGGTTCCCCCTTACTCATGTCTTATCTCCCCCCCTCTCCCCTCCCCTCTTGTTCTCCTCTCCTTTCATCTTTGTTCTGTGCTCCCCTTGCCTCTTGTCATGTCTCAGCCCTTGTCTCTCCATACAATTGAAAAGCTCTCCACCTCACCCCTCCCTCCCTCCCTCTCCCCCTTCCCCTCCTTGTTTCCCTTCTCATGTGTTGGTTCTGCACAGCTCTGACCAAGATTCAGCACATATGAAGTTTGAGCGTGTGATGCCAATAGTACATCTGCAACAGCATCTAAAAAATCACGACCCCTTTGTTTACGGCTAAGGGGTTGTGAGGGAATATTGGGGTTTGGGTCCACGGCCACTACTTACCGTTTACACGCATTTGGGTGAGATCTGTTGGAAATAGGCATGGAGCTGCTGCAAACGTTGCAATTTCGACCTTTTTCAGGTTGCGCGCCCCCGGATTTCGTTTCAGCGCGGTCCGATGTTCAGCATCGACGGTCGACAATCCAATTTTTTTCGAATGGTTGAGATTTCTCGACAGACCCTAGGCATGCGCGATCGATTGGTTGATTGAAAACATTGTTTCCGCCGAACCATGATGTGTACGAAGATGTTAGAAAGAGACTATGAATAGAATAGGAAGATATAGGGCAATATAGACTAGTGAGTTGTACCCTTTAAGGCACAAACCTGTATAGTCTACACTACAGCAACAACATAAGATATGTTTGACACACCTGTTAAAGTAAGAACTGAATGACTAGAGTACGTGGGTACAAGAACACATATGCAAGTGTTGTACTCTCTAAGAGGTGACCCCATATAGTCTATACAAACACTAGATATGCTAATGTTTGACACACCCCGTCGACTGCATAGGGGCAGTGCCTGAACAAGCAGCTCAGGGCGGCACTACTAGTCCAGCCACTGAGACAAGGGTCTAAAGACCAGTCAACAGGAGTACAGGCAAGACAAGAACAAGACCAGGGCGGCACTATTAGTCAGCCACTGGGAGAGGACACAAGTCCAGTCTGAGCTAATATATATATAAAGGACACTACAAAGTCAAGGCCCTAGCAAGTGAGAGGCTACAGGAACGAGACCTAGCTGTAAACAGTGCCGCTGATGATCTTTAGGCGCAAGCGCCTTCGTAAAGATATCAGCTGTGTTGGCACCGGAGGCCAGGTGTACTAAGCGAGCCTGGCGGCGCTGCTGTATCTCTCGCAGGAGGAAGCTGGATATGCTTCGTTATGCCCTCGAGTCGAGGCTCCTGACACAGGAGGATCATGGGCCTGTTGTCAGCGTACAGGACAGGGGCAGAGCTAGGCCGCTCACCTAAGTCAGTAAGCAAGAAGGTCAGCCAGCGGAGCTCCTGCGCCGCCATGGCACCAGCATAGATCTCGGCCTCACAGCTCGACTGGGCAACAGACGAGGAGCGGGTAGCTCTCCACGAGACGGCACCTAAACCAAGGCTGAAGCAATAGCCCTGGGAAGACCTGAGTGTCTTGGCGTCGTCTGCCCACGAAGCGTCTGTGTGTCCAGTAAAGACCACTGGCCTGCGTCCTCCTAGCACTAACCCCATGCCCGATGTACTCGCAAGATAACGCACAACTCTCCTAGCGGCAGACCAGTGCTGCGGTCGGTGTCTGCCTGTGGCCACAAAGCGAGCCAGGATGCTGAGAGGGTATGCGAGATATGGACGAGTGCAAGTCATCAGGTACATGAGGCAACCCACCAGCTCTGCGTAAGGGCCACTGGGCTCTACTGACTCCTCAGAATCTGGAGCGGATAGTCTGTGGTCTACAGGCAGAGGGGTGGGCTGTGCAGAAGAGAACTGAAGGCCGAACCTCTGAAGGACCTGGCGCACCAAGTGTGACTGAGTCAAGGTGATGGTGCGCGCTGCTCTGTCCCTGGAGATCTGCAAGCCAAGGTAACGGCGCAGTTCTCCAAGGTCAGTGCAAGTGTGTCTCTTCAGCAGCTCGCCTTCACGGAGGCCAGTGCGTCCCTGTCTGCTGTGGCAAAGACCAGATCGTCCACGTAAACAAGGATGTAGAACGGAGTCTGGCCAGCACGAACAAAGAGCGAGGGGTCTGCGGAAGACGGAAAGAACTGCAGGTCAGCAAGGGTAGCACGCAGCGTGTCGTGCCACTCACGAGGAGCCTGCCGCAGGCTGTAGACGGGACGCCGCAGGAGCCACTGAGTCCCAGGAGGGAAGGTACCAGTAAAGCCATGAGGGCGACGCAGGTAGACCTGCTCGTGTAGGCTGCCCTGAAGGAAGGCAGTGGAGAAGTCGAGGGAGTGAAGCTCGTAGTCACGCTGAGCAGCTAGGTGTAACACAACCCGAAGAGTAGTCATCTTCGGGGTCGGAGCGAATGTCTGGAAGTAGTCCACCCCCTCACGCTGACTGAAGCCTCTAGCAACGTAGCGCGCCTTGAACACAGGCGGCTCTCCAGGAGGGCGCTTCACCTTGAAGAGCCAGCGGCCACCGACTACGTTCACCCCAGGCGGGGGAACTGCGTCGACGAAGGTGCCGGTGGATCTCCAAGATGCCATCTCCTGCTCCATGGCAGCTATCCACTGGGAAGCCCAGGGTCCCGAGGTCGCCTCAGCGTAAGTGCGAGGGGTCGAGATGTCGAAAGTGTCTGGTCACCCTCAGGGACTAGCAGCATGGAACAGAGATGGGGAGCAGCCTCGGACAGGAAAGCAAGCTCGAACTGGCGGTCCTCCACAACGTCACTGCCGAGGGCAAGAGCACCCCCGACAGACGGAGGACAGGCAGGGTCAGAGACCAGAGCGGTAGCGTAGTCAAGGCGGCGGGTAGAGGCGAAGTCAGCGACCGCAGCGACTAGAGCGTCAAGACACGAGACCGGAACAGACGGGTCGGTAACGAGAGAGGCGAGGACCCGAGGAACAAGAGGACGAGCGGCACGAAGGTAGTCAGACAGAGGGGGAGGCGCAACGGTAAGAGAGGACGGAGGCGGCGACGATAGAGGGGGAGGACGAGACGCGTGGGAACGAAGCAACATAGGGTGAGAGCGCGTGACAGGGGAGACAGGACAAGCGCGGGAGGGACGGTGGGACCAGACGTGAGACGGAGGCGTCGGGTCAGGAGACAGAGGAGGTGACACAAGGGGGGAGCGAGGGGGAAGACGAGCCGGGGATGAGTCCGGCGGAGGGAACACAGGGCCGTAGATAGGAAGAGGAGGAGACGGCAGGGGAGGACCGGACGCAAAGTCAGGGGACGGAAGGCCGAGCAGGCGAAGGGCGGACACCAGCGGGGACTGCTGCTGCGGCGGCACAACACCAACACCGGGACCGCAAGCTACTCCGCGGCTACCGCCGGAACACTCCACGCCGGCACCCCCAGAAGGAACACCCCCAGAGCCCGAAACCCCTCGAGCACCAGTACCACCCCTAGGGCCACCTGGGCAGTCTACAACAGGAACCCCAGAACTAGCACCCACCCCGACGCGACCACCCCAAGGGTCGACGAACTGCAGCTGCGACGGCGGCAGCGGCGGCGGGAACGACGGCTGCGACAGCAGGGGCGGCGGCGGCTGCAGAGGCTGTGAGGGGGGAGACACTGGGGGAGGGGCAGACAGCGAGGACTGCGCCGCAGGACCACCAGAGTCAGAGGACTCCTCGACTGGGACAACTGACAGAAGAGGGGGGACATGGGACACACCAGAGGGGGCAGGACGGGGTGGTGGAGGGGGGGGGCAGGGACCACCGGGGAAGGAGTGACCAGGAACAGGGGGGGAGTAACCGGGGGACCGCGGTGGGGGGAAGCGATGGTAGAAGGAGACGGACTCGTCAAAGGGGAAACCTAGGAAGGCGCGGGGAAGTGTGCGGGCAGTGAGCTTGTCCATGCCAGAGGCACGAACGTGAGCAAGGCAGCCCCAGACGTGGAACGCAGATGCGTCACCAGGAGACCCGGTCCAAAGAAGGGTCGGCGAAACTTGTGGCTGCTGGGGGTGCGGCCACAGGTTAAGCTGGTGAGCAGCGTAGCGCACGGCGAATGGCCACAGAAAATGGGGTGCACCGGCATGGATCATGGAGGTGCGAGCAACCTCCATGACCAGACCGATGCGTCGCTCAGCGACCCCATTCTGCTGTGGGGAGTCCGGCGGGGTGAACGTCTGGGTGATGCCCTCCGCATGACAGAAGCGACCAAGGACACCTGGGGCAAACTCACCACCATGGTCGGAGTGAAGACGCAGGACAGGGAGACCTCGGTGGACACGGGCAGAGACAAGCCAGGGAATGAGAACGTCAGGCACGTCGGCCTTGCGCTCCAGAGGATAGATTGTGGTGTAGCGAGTGAAGTTGTCAACAAGTACGAGGAAGTAGCGCTCTTGACGCGGCCCATGGACGGGGGCGGGGCCCTAGACGTCCATGTGCAGGGTCTGCAGCGGCGTGGCAATAGAGGGAAACGAGGAGGAGTGAGGGGCACGGCGACCCTCGACACAAGGCGTGCAAGGTGGGGCGGGGGAGGAGGGAAATGCAGGGAACGAACAAGGGAGACCAAGGACGAGACCGTGCTGGGACATGTGACGCAGACGCAGGAGCGCAGGGTGACCTAGGCAATGGTGCCAAAGGAGAGTCGGGTGAGTGAGGGACCGACCGGAGCAGGCAGCAGCAACCTGGGTAGACGCAGCCACCTGAAGGGGCGCCCCTGCCGGGGGGTCACGGTATCCAGGGTGAACACGCCGGACACCGGGTCGCGGGGGAACGTGGACAGGGGGGTACCAGTGGCGGCCTCGTTACAGACAGTGTACCGCTCGTGACCAGGGAACGTAGTGGTGACGCCAAGGTCCTGGAGGCAGGCGACACCAACTAGGTTCCTGGAGAACGAGGGGATATGCAGACTTGTGAGAGAGCCCGAAGGAACCGCCAGACAGGGAAGGGTGGTGGAACTGCAAGCGACTACTGGACTGCCGAAGGGGTCAGCAAGAGAAACTGCAGCAGGAACAGGAAGCGGCGTCAGCGTAGTAGAGTCACGGAAGAAACACCGGAAAGCGCCAGAGTCCAAGGTGAAGGAGAGCGAAGTAGTGGCGTCTGGCAACTGGGCGACGGTGGAAGCACCAAGGCTAAACAAGGCAGAAGCTCCTACGCCTGGCGCAGCAGGGGAGGCTAATCTAGGCACACCTACACTAGGCGACAAGGAGTAATAAGAGGGGATCACACTAGAGTCATCAGCATACATCACATGCAGGGCAGAAACAATGGCATCCATGTCCATGTCAAAAATCTGAACTCTACACTAAGCAAAATGTGCCAGTCCGGGAGGTCGTGCGACGGTGCGAAACGCTGACGAAACAGGTCGTCCAAGCGACGAAAACAGCGGGCAATGGTGTGACCGATCTTACCGCAAACAAAGCCGCGGCGAGGATCGGTCTGGATCTGGTACTGACAGCGCACGCCTCCCGAACCGTCACCCGGCACACCACCACGCGCACGACCACCACCAGCGCCAGGCCACCCGGGCGGGACGACACTCGCCTGCCTCGTTTGCGGCGGCTGCTGCAGCTGGTGCAGCTGCTGCGGCTGCGGCGGCTGCTGCGGCTGCGGCTGCTGCTGCTGCTGCTGCTGCTGCTGCTGCTGCTGCTGCTGCTGCTGCTGCTGGTGCTGCTGCTGCTGCTGCTGCTGCTGCGACTACTGCTGCTGCTGCTCAGCCGGACCTGGCAGGGTCCCCTTGTCCACTCCACCACCAGACGACCCGACTCCAGCACCACCTCCACTGGCACCCCCACCACCGCCGCCGCACCCAGCCTTGGGGCGGCGGCCCTTCCCCGGACGGAACTGCGCTGTAGCGGCGGTCTCAGCCACAGCGGGACAGGTAGGCGCAGCGGGGCCAGCCAGGCGCAGCGGGGCCAGGGAGGCGCGGCGGGGCCAGACAGGCGCGGCGGGGCCAGGCAGGCGCGACGCAGACGGGTAGGCGCGACGAGGCCAGGCTGGCCGCGACGGGGCCAGGCGGGTGCGGCGGGGCCAGGCGGGTGCGGCGGGGCAAAGCAGGGCGCGACGGGGCCAGGCAAGGCGCGACGGGGCCTAGAGGGCGCGATGGGGCGAGGCTGGGCACGACGCGGCCGTAGCGGGCGCGACGGGGCCTAGGAGGGGCGCGATGGGGCTAGGAGGCACGACGGGGCCCAGGAGGGGCGCTAGGAGGCGCGACGGGGCCCAGGAGGGGCGCGAAAGGGCTAGGAGGCACGACGGAGCCTAGGAGGGGCGCGACGGGGCTAGGAGGCGCGACAAGGCCCAGGAGGGGCGCGACGGGGCTGGGAGGCGCGACGGGTCCCAGGAGGGGCGCGACGGGGCTAGGAGGCGCTATAGGGTACGGGCGGAGGCGGTAGGTGGGCGATTCTAACCTACGCGTGATACCATTTTAAAGTAAGAACTGAATGACTAGAGTACGTGGGTACAAGAATACATATGCAAGTATTGTACTCTCTAAGAGGTGACCCTATATAGTCTATACAAACACTAGATATGCTAATGTTTGACACACCCCCTAGACTGCATAGGGGCAGTGTTTGAACAAGCAGCTCAGGGCGGCACTACTAGTCGAGCCACTGAGACAAGGGTCTCAAGACCAGTCAACAGGAGTACAGGCAAGACAAGAACAAGACCAGGGCGGCACTATTAGTCCAGCCACTGGGAGAGGACACAAGTCCAGTCTGAGCTAATATATATATAAAGGACAGTACAAAGTCAAGGCCCTAGCAAGTGAGAGGCTACAGGAACGAGACCTACCTGTAAACAGTGCCGCTGATGATGTTTAGGGGCAAGCGCCTTCGTAAAGATATCAGCTGTGTTGGCACCGAAGGCCAGGTGTACTAAGCGAGCCTGGCGGCGCTGCTGTAGCTCTCGTAGGAGGAAGTACCGCAGCTGGATGTGCTTCGCTCTGCCCTCGAGTCGAGGCTCCTGACACAGGAGGATCATGGGCCTGTTGTCAGCGTACAGGACCGGGGCAGAGCTAGGCCGCTCACCTAAGTCAGTAAGCAAGAAGGTCAGCCAGCGGAGTTCCAGTGTCGCCATGGCACAAACGTAGATCTCGGCCTCACAGCTGGACTGAGCCACAGACGACGAGGGGTTAGCTCTCCATGAGACGGCACCTGAACCAAGACTAAAGCAGTAGCCCTGAGAGGACCTGAAGGTCTCGGCGTCGTCTGCCCCAGAAGGGTCTGTGTGTCCAGTAAGGACCACTGGCCTGCGTCCTCCTAGCACTAACCCCATGCTCGATGTACTTGCTAAATAACGCAAAACCCTCTTAGCGCCAGACCAGTGCTGAGGACGGTGTCTGCCTGTGGCCACAAAGCGAGCCAGGATGCTGAGAGGGTATGCGAGATCTGGGCGAGTGCACGTCATCAGGTACATGAGGCAACCCATCAGCTTTGCGTAAGGACCACTGGGCTCCGCTCACTCCTCAGGAACTGGAGCACAGAGCCTGTGGTCTAGAGGCAGAGGAGTGGGCTGTGCGGAGGAGAACTAAAGGCCGAACCACTGAAGGACCTGGCGCACCAAGTGTGACTGAGTCAAAGTGATGGTGTGCGCTGCTCTGTTCCTGGAGATCTGCAAGCCAAGGTAGCGGCGCAATTCTCCAAGGTAAGTGCACGTGTGTCTCTTCAGCGGCTCTGCCTTCACGGAGGCCAGTGCGTCCCTGTCTACAGTGGCGAAGACCAGGTTGTCTACGTAAACAAGGATGTAGAACGGAGTCTGGCCAGCATGAACGAAGAGCGAGGGGTCTGCAGAGGACGGAAAGAACTGTAGGTCAGCTAGGGTAGCACGCAGCGTGTCGTGCCACTCACGGGGAGCCTGGCATAGGCCGTAGATGGGGTGCCACAGGAGCCACTGGGTCCAAGGAGGGAAGGTACCAGTGAAGCCCTGAGGGCGGCGCAGGTAGACCTACATGTGTAGACTGCCCTGAAGAAAAGAAGCGGAGAAGTCAAGGGAGTGAAGCTCGTAGTCACGCTGAGCTACTACAGGTAGCAGTACCTGAAGAGTAGTCTTCTTAGGGGTCGGAGTGAAGGTCTGAAAGAAGTCCACCCCCTCACGCTGACGGAAACCTCTAGCCACGTAGCGCGCCTTGAACACAGGCGGCTCTCTAGGAGGGTGCTTCACCTTGAAGAGCCAGCGGCCATCGACTACGTTCACCCCAGGTGGGGGAACTGCGTCGCTGTAGGTGCCGGTGGATCTCCAAGATGCCATCTCATGCTCCATGGCAGCTATCCACTGAGAGGCCCAGGGTCTCGAGGTCGCCTCAGCGTAAGTGCGAGGGGTCGGGATGTCGAAAGCGTCAGGGTCACCCTCAGGGACTAGCAGTATGGAATAGAGATGGGGAGCAGCCTCGGACAGGAAAGCAAGCTCGTACAGGCGGTCCTCCAGGAGGTTACTGCCAAGGGCAGGAGCACCCCCGACAGACAGAGGACAGGCAGGGTCAGAGACCAGAGCGGTGGCGTAGTCAAGGCGGCGGGTAGAGGCGAAGTCAGCGACCATAGTGATAAGAGCATCAAGACGTGACACCGGAACAGACGGGTCGGTAACGAGAGAGGCAAGGACCCGAGGAACAAGAGGACGAGCGGCACGAAGGTAGTCAGACAGAGGTGGAGGCGCAACGACAAGGGAGGACGGAGGAGGCGACGGGAGGAGGGGAGGACGAGACACGTGAGAACGAAGCAATATAGGGTGGGAGCGCGAGACAGGTGAGACAGGGCGAGTATGGGAGGGACGGCGCGACCAGACGTGCGACGGAGGCGTCGGGTCGGGAGACAGAGGAGGAGACACAAGAGGGGAACGAGGGGGGAGACGAGCCGGGGACGAGTCCGGGGGAGGGAACACAGAGCCGTAGACCGGAAGAGGAGGGGACGGCAGGAGAGGAACAGACGCAGGGTCAGGGGACGGAAGGCCGAGCAGGCGAAGGGCTGACACCGGTGGGGACAGCGGCTGCTGCGGCACAACACCGACGCCAGGGCCGAAAGCGGCTCCACGGTTACCGTCGGAACACTCCTCTCCTGCACCCCCAGAAGGAACACCCCCAGAGCCAGAAACCCCTCCAGCACCGGTACCACTCCCATTTCCAGCTCCACCAGAGGCGACGAACGGCTGCGGCCGCAGGGATGGCATCTACGGCGGCGATGACTGCTGCTGTGGCGGCGGTGGAGGTGTCACCGAGGGGGGGGCTGGCGGCAAGGACCGGGCCGCAGGACCACCAGAGTTAGCAGACTCCTCAACCGGGACAACCGACGGGAGGGGAGTGACATGAGACACACCGAACGGGGCAGGATGCGGGGGGGGTGGGACTGGGGCTACCAGGGACGGGGGAACCAAGAACAGGGGGTGGGCAACCGGGGGACCACGGTATGGAAAGCGGTGGTAGAAGGAGACGGACTCGTCAAAGGTAACGTCTCGGGAGTGAAAGGAACGTGGGACGGCGGGTGATAGAAGTGCTAGTCGGACGATGCAGGGGACGGTGCAGGTTGTAAGCTTGTCCGTGCCAGAGGCACGAACGTGAGCAAGGCAGCCCCAGACGTGGAACGCAAACGCGTCACCAGGAGACCCGATCCAAAAAAGTGTCGGCGAAACCTGCGGCCACTGAGGGTGCGGCCACAGGTTAAGCTGGTGAGCAGCGTAGCGAACCGCGAACGGCCACAGAAAAATGGGGTGCACCGGCGTGGATCATGGAGGTACGAGCCACCTCCATGACCAAACCGATGCGTTGCTCAGCGGCCCCATTCTGCTGGAGTCCGGCAGGGTGAACGTCTGGGTGATGCCCTCTGCACGACAAAAGCACCCAAGGACGCCGGAGGCAAACTCGCCCCCACGGTCAGAGTGAAGACGCAGGACAGGGAGACTGCAGTGGACACGCACTGCGACTAGCCAACACTAGCCAGCAGGGGGGGCAAGACTAGGCACACCTACACTAGGCAACACAGGGTAGTGAGAACCAGTCACACTAGAGTCATCAGCATACAGCACATACAGGGCAGAGCTAAGCTCATCCATGTCCATATCAAAAATCGTAATACTACAACGAAGCAAGCTGAACCATTTGGGGAGGTCGGGCGACGGGCCGAAGCAAAGACAAAACAGGTCGTCAAGGCGACGGAAGCAGCGAACTGGGGAGTGACCAGTCTTACCGCAAACGGAGCCGCAGCGAGGACCCGTCAGGAGCTGGTACTGGCAGCGCCCGTCACCCGAACTGCCACCCGGGAGCACACCACGCGCACCTCCACCACCATGTCCACCGTCGCCACTAGCGCTAGGCCACCCGGGCGGGAGACCACTCACCCGCCTCTGCTGCTGCGGCTGTTGCGACTGCTGCGGCTGCTGCGACTGCTGCGGCTCGGTTGCGGGTGTGGGAGGTGCTGGTCCGGCTGCGACGGCTGCGGCTGCTGGGACGGCGGCTCGGCTACACTAGGGACAGTCCCCTCGTGTGCGCCACCACCAGGCGCCCCGACTCCACTACCACCTCCACCTGTACTCCCACCCCCTCCGGCACGCCCAGCCTTGGGGCAGCGACCCTTCCCCGGACGGAGCTGCGCTGCAGCAGCAGTCTCAGCCACAGCAGCAGAACCGTCGGAGAAGGTGCACTGGGCAGGGGCACAACCCTGAAAGATAGGGACTGGCACAGTACCGCTAGTCTGGGCAATAGAGCGGTGGCGGGTCTCTATGGTAGACAGGGTGTTGACAAAGTCGGTGAGGGTGAGGTCACTGGGGTGGACGCTAAGGAAGCGGTCGCGGGCA